CCCCCCCCCCCCCCCACACATAAACCTGTATACTCCGCTCAAGAACCTCACCAAAAATTATATATACTCCGGTGAACAACCCCCCCACTAAAACCTATATATCATCTACTCGTGGATAACCTAGGAACTAAGAACCCCCGCCCCGGGCCAATAATCATTGCAGAGGTTCTTAAATGCCGGCGCTAACTGAAGTCCACCTCCCCCCTCCTGCTTCCCCCAGATGTTATGGTGGGAGACGAAGGGGCGTTCTTAGACGAGGAAGACCTGGACGACTTGAGCGACGATGACGGCGATGACGACGATGGGGTATAACGAGGAATTGGGGGGAGGGGGAGGGAAAGAGCGGGAGAGAGAGAGAGAGAGAGAGAGAGAGAGACAGAGGTGCAGAAAATATAACTACCTCGTATTCCAGCAGCGTTGGTGAGCCGCTGTTGTTCCCATTTGCGTTGAATGCTTTGCCGAAACACGTACCACTACTGCGCAACCACGAAGAGGGGTGTGGTGGTAGAGATTCGCAGTGGACGTGTCTTGTTGTTCTTGTGTGCTGCTATACGCAGTACAAGCCCAATGCGTACTTGCACGACTGTAACAGATGCATCCATGTGGGTTTGCAAGGGGTTACCGTTCATACCGGCGGGTGAACAGCGCGTTTATGTAGTCGGAGTTGGAGTTGAGCCTGGTTTGACTTTATGAAAAACGGTACGAAGAAGAAGCTGGTCGCGCTGTGTACCTACACCAGATTCTGTGGTGACAGCAGTGCTGTGTACCGAACTTTTGGACCCCCTCCGGCTGGTTTGGCACACAATGTGAGGAAGTGCATCACCGACTACTGCACACCATGGTTTCTACCATGTGCGAACGCAAGCTGAGCGCCCGTTCTTATTTAATGGCCAAGCCAAGTGCTTCGGGTTCCATCTTTTGCATGCCATGGTTCTTACGATGGGCACCGAAAATCTATGTGAAATAGAAAAGAAAGACTGCTTGTACCAGTTCCAGAAATAACAACAGGCCGTCGAAGTCGAAACGGCCAATTCGAGTTGTTTTCAGGTTCCATGTTTTAAGGTTGAAATTCTTCTCTTACCAGATTCGCTTTGGGTTCGCTACAAACGGTTGAAGTGGGAGGCGCAGGCGTTCTGGATCTACACTTGCTCGTGCGGAGCTTTTTCTTTTCTGTCTTTCTTTCTTTTTTCTTCCTGTCTTTCATCGCGTGGATGCATAGTAGACGAAGCAAGGCTTGGACGAATGGAATCGAAAGGAAGTGTGATCAATGTTGATTGATTGATGAATTGCCTGAAGTTGTTACCAGGTTCATTCGCTAAAGTTTAGTCTACGTGTCTGGGTGGTGGGTGGGGCAAGCGGACCTCAACTCGCTCGTGCGGAGCCTTTTCAATTCTTATTTTCTTTTCTCACACACACAAGATTCCTGTCAAAACGAGGATCAGAATGATGATAGCGAAAACAAGGAGGATAATGGTGGAAGTACTCCTAAACGAACTCGAGTACAAGGTACTACCTCTGGTCGGAAATATAAGATCAGTTGGGACAAAATGCGGGCTATCTCGATCCCATTAGTCTACAATATACCGTTGTTTTCCTTGGTTTCGCCGCGTTACGCGGGACACACAGAACCGGGCTCTTTTGACAAGTCCCGCTAGAAGTTTGGTCCTACCCCAGCAGAAGCCACTCGAAATCAACACCCCAATTTTGAACCTCCGGTCAAGAGCCTTCCCATCTGTTGGCGAGGCATGTCCGCTCCTGGGGGTGCCTCCCAGGTGTCGAAACGCAAGAATCTCAACAGTTTGCAAAGAGAGGAGGTGATTCGGCACCTCCTCGCCGAGAGCAACAACCAGATAGATGGGAAGGCTCTTGACCGGAGGTTCAAAGTTGGGGTGTTGATTTCAAGTGGCTCGCTGAGGGAGGTAGACGTATATTGTGTGGATTGTAAACGTACAGCAGTGGTGGTGCCGAGGAAGGTATAAATAAGAAGGAGCAAATTAATTTGGAATTGCTGCGAGACGATGTTCAGAGTCGGTGCGATCACTGCTGCTGTAGAGAGCGACGTTTCAACACCGCTTTTGCCGACATTTCAACACCGCTTTGGCGGCGACACGGCGCTATCCACACGGCGACCCCTCCCCCCCCCCGAACTGATGCCGGAGCTTCTCAGGTGGACGTTCAGGGCGTTGCTGCGTTGCATACGCCCAGCAAGCCGTTTCTTTCCATCTCGGGATATATTTCCACCATTCGTAGCTCGATTCTCCTGTGTCCCATGACGGGATACCATTGTCGTTGTTGTTGTTGTTGTTGTTGTTGTTGTCTCCACATTAAAAACCGTTCCGATCTCTCTCTACCCAGTACCTTCGCATGTCCGTACTGATCCAACACTCGACGCGGTCGATTCCCGTGGTCGCAGGCAAACTTACCCTAACAAGGTACGCTAAAATAAAATGGCCCGAAGGGATCCGCAAGGCAATAATATCAATCAACGACAGATATCCTGGAGTCCTCCACTCCCTCTGCGCGCTATGCGAGAGGTAAAAACTAAGACTAGGGGTCACCATCACGGGCCGGAGAGAATGAGGTACACCCCCTTGGTTCAATTTTGGTACTTCACAACGCAAGCAGAGACAAGGCCATCTGGCACAGAAAAAGAGAAAAAGAGAACAAGAGAACAAGAGATAAAGATAAAAGAAGAGAAAAGGAAACATGCCATAAAAAACCTCGATTTCCACGATTTTTGAAAACCCGGGTATACCAGCGAACCATCCCCCCTTTTTGAGCGATTGTTGTTTTTTTCAATCCTTTTCGGTGCCCACTATTCTCCCTTCTTCCCCTCGCTCCTCGACAAGCTTTTGCTTAGACATGGGTTGTAGTGAAGGGGGGGGTCTTTCTGGCGAGCAGGGCTAGACTCACCCTCAAGGGATGACCGAAACCTTCTTGCTGCTGCGCATATNACAGCACTTCAGACAGCAGCTTTGTGCCCCGCCAGCTTCTTGTTCCATGCCTACCATGGTGTTTTTGTACAGACAGCACTTCAGACAGCAAGTATGCTGTAGTCGGCAATCATTCGTTTTGGTACAGAGTGGGACAGGTAGGGGGTGATGTTACTGTAGTCGAACGGTGAGACGGACGTGTAGTTCAGTTTTGGGCACGCGTACGGTGCTGCAGGGATTATATATAGGTGTAGTAGTACCTCTTCGGGCTCTTGGATACCTTTTTCTTGCTACTACGTGTGCGTGTTCTTTAGACCCTCAGATGGCTCTAGCACTTTCGTGACCACGGGCTGAGAGTCTTTGCTAGATTTTGGCATTTAGCAACTGGCATACGGTTTAATGTGAAGTCAACAACAACAACTGCAAAATCAAGCCTCTCCGACCTCCCGCAATCTATATTTGGCCTTATAGTACACACACCGGTCGCCTCGGTGGTCTAGTTGGTAACCTCGAAACCTTCTAGAGGTCAGGTCAGGGGTTCGAATCCCGGCGTAAGCGAGCTTTTCTTGCGAAGTGAGTTTTACTCTCGCTTCCCCTCCTGGCCTAGTGGATAGCGCTGCTAGTTCGTAGGTACACAGAGGCAAGTACGTGCTGAACTCGCATTAAAAATCGAAGGCAAAGTACCGCAGGAGGGGAGGGTAGAGAGGGGCTCTCCTGTGTGACCACGGGTTGGAGTAAACGGTACTAGTGCCGTGAGCGCTGATTTGAAGTGAAGAATATATATACATATAATATATGAAAATAGTAGAAACCGATCTTACATTCCGGAGTTCCCAACCAAGGTGGTCTATTATACTGTTGTTGGTAACCTCGAAACCTTCTAGAGGTCAGATCAGGGGTTCGAATCCCGGCGTAACGAGCTTTTCTTGCAAAGTGAGTTTTTCTCTCTCTCGCTTTCGCTCCTGGCCTATTGGATAGCGCTATTTCGTGTGTACACAGAGGGAAGAGAGTGCTGAACTCTTCTCGCATTAAAAATCGAAGGCAAAGTACCGTAGGAGGGGAGGGTAGAGAGGGGTTCTCCTGTGTGACCACGGGTTGGAGTAAACGGCATTAACTAGTGCCGTGAGCGCTCATTTGAAGTGAAGACCAAAAAAAAAAAAAATCTATCAAATATATCCGTTCTTCTTTTGTTGCCGCCTTTTCTGTCTTTGATCCGGAGGATAGTTAAGCCTTCCCCATGCCTAGTAGTTGTTGCCAAAATAACTTTTTCACGCACGTGGGTCTCACTACTCCACCCGCTGGCTGGCTCACGACGCGAGCAACTGCACTGATGACTGTACACGGATGATCGAATGTCAACGATACAAGATACATAGATGGGGGGTCCCGTGAATACAAAGAAAGGTGGAACATGCGGTTGTTGTTGTTGTTGTTGTCTTCACATTATAAACCATCCCGGTCTCTCTATCCAGTACCTCC